TTCCAGCTACTTGGAAGGCTGAGGCAGAAGGATCGCTGGAGCCCAGCAGGTCAAGGTTGCAGTGGCCGGGAGCATCCATTGCACTCCAGTCTGGGTGACAGAGTGAGACTCCAACTCAAAAAAAAAAAAAAAGTTGAGTAAATACCTCATCAACAAGGGTACCTACATAATCAACGTTTGTATACCTAACCCTGAATTGTACCCCACATCTTTATAATAATAAAAAATATTTTTTAAGAAAAAAATAATAATAATTAGAAAAAAAAGTTGAGTAAATAATATTTTATCTTCTCTTTAACACATATACGTTTATTTTATACATGTGGTAATTTGAAACTTTTTTGTTTTTGAGTTGGAGTTTCACTCTGTGGCCCAGACTGGAGTGTGGGGACATGCTCACAGCCACCACAGCATCAACCTGCTGGGCTCAGGTGATCCTTCCACCTCAGTCTTCCAAATAGCTGGAGCCACAGGCATGCACCACCATGCCCGGCTGAATTTTAAACTTATAAATGCAAATTCAATATTAGAGATAATTTGGACTTTCTGAAAAGGAGAAATTTCTGTTCATAGTTCAATTTTTTTCTCCCAAAGGAACAGGATGACTATGATAGAGAAACAGCTTAGAAAAACACCCCTAAATTCAACCATTCAAGGAACAGAATTACTTTCTTAAAGAGTCAAATGGTGACATCTGTTCTTTTTTTGTTGTTAATGAAAATCAATCTTCTTCCATTCTCTTGTCGGCCTGTTCACTCTCAAATTTCTAGAAAAATATAAACAAATCCCTTTTCCAAATTAAATTTTTAAAAATTCCAAGTTGGCTAGGCTGTTGGCTCAGCCTGTAATCCCAGCACTTTGGGAGACTAAGGCAAGTGGATTGCCTGAGCCCGTGGGTTCGAGATCAGCCCGGGCAACTTGGCGAGACCTCGTCTCTACAATAAATTTTTAAAAATTGGCCAGATGTGGTAGTGCATGCCTGCAGTTCTAGCTACTTGGAAGGCTGAGGCGGAAAGATAGCCTGAGCCCAGCAGGTCAAGGCTGCAGTGGCCGGGAGTGTGCCACTGCACTCCAGTCCATGACAGAGTGAGACTCCAACGCAAAAAAAAAAAAATTCAAGTCAATACATTATAGTTTAATTAGGCTACTCATAGAATTTCTTGGAGTTGACATTATAACTGCAGCTTTCAAGCTCTTTCATCCCATAAACTTCTCATTAAGAAAATCAGTCCTTGATCAAATATACATGATAATATTCTGCTGAGAAAAAACAAAAGGAAAAACAATAATATTGTTAATTTTACTTACTTCTATTTCAGAAATGATGAAGTTATTACATCAACACTGCCTGGGGACATGCAGGGAAGACAGAAGACTAAAGATAATGAAAGAGAAGAAAGAAAGAACACAGTGATAAGAAAGGGGGTCAGAGAGAACCACCACAGAGTAACAGGAGTACTACTGATGTCCTAGAAAGTAGCTCATGACCAAGTGTGGTGGCTCACGCCTGTATTCCCAGCACTTTGGGAGGCAGAGGCGAGAGGACTGCCTGAGTCCACGGGTTCAATACCAGCCCGGGCAACATGGGGAGACCTTGTCTCTACAATAAATAAAAAAAAAAAAATTAGATGGGCATGGTGGCATCTACTTGGAAGGTTAAGGTGGAAGGATTAAGTGAGCCCAGCAGGTGAGGGCTGCAGTGGCCATGAGTGTCACCGCACTCTAGCCTGGGGACAACAGAGTAAGACTCCAACTCAAAAAAAAGAAAGTAGCTCATGCTCCCCAAGTGCCTTCTGTAGTAGCACTCTGGTCTTCAAATGAAAACAGCTCCAGAACTCCAAGAGAGGTATGTCACAGGTTGGTGTTTCTTGAAGTGGATATCAAAGAGCATATCAATCAGCCAGCTCCTTATCTCTACAATAAATCAAAAAATCAGCCGGGCGTGGCGCCTGTAGTTCCGGCTACTCGGAAGGCTGAGGTGGAAGGATCGCCCGAGCCCAGCAGGCGAGGCTGCAGTGGCCGGGAGCGGCCACTGCACTCCAGTCTGGGCGACAGAGTGAGACTCCAACTCAAAAAAACACACACATACAAACACACAAAACACATGAGCCTGGGCCTTCACCCCATCC